CTTACAAGAGACCTTTTGCATGAAGCATATTCCAGTTACATCGTATTTACCCTTAAACATATTTCCATAAACATTATGGAGTGCAACGTCACATGTGGACCACCAATCAAGATTCTTCCAAAAAACTTCAGAAAGGAGAAATCCTCCTTTGGAGCTTTTTTCTGTTGGGCTAAAATAAATGACTGAATTTTATTGTACATTTCTGGAGGACAGAGTGGTAAATCAAAGAGGATTCCTCATTACATCAAGTATAGTAGAATTAGATTAAAAAAACTGGGTGGGGAGAATCAAAGTCCTGGCCAAAATGTGCTACTGGACTCAGTCATTAATATGGTGATCCTCAGATGGATCTACCAGAGCGCAAGGCCACCATCTTCCAAAACGTGGGGAAAAATTTACATTTAGCTGCTTCTTCAAAATCCTTCCACTAGGATCTAAAATAGTCTTGTTCTTCATTATATCAAACCTTTATATCATCTTCTGGTGGCTACTAAATTAGGAAGCAAGTTAGAAGAGGGACAGCATCTTACCCTATTAGCGTTATGCGCTAATGCAGACTTTTCCTTCCTCATCAAACCAAGTGCGCTTATCTTTGAAAGCATTTTGGGGATAATTAAAACCAAAATCAATTTGTTTAGAGACTAGCGATTGTGAGGACTTTACCAGCAACTCCTATCATTCACAAATTTGAGAGGAGTTCTCGGAAGTAGATTTTTAAGAGCTGTAATAATTAAGAGTCTTCCAATCTCCTAGACAATGTGTCACAAATGTCTGGGGTCCATTTTAGTTTTACTACCTGTTTGGAACAACGTGGTTATCAAGGAATCCTCACCCCTAAGAAATAAAATTCTCTCTAAAAAAGGGAGATTATCATTCATTATAGAGAGAAATTGGTGGTCACTATCTGTACGAGAAAGTATAGCAAAATCTCTTTAGAAGGGTCAATTAATTATGGGAATAATATAATCAATAATACCACCAGTTTATGAAATATAGGTAAAATGGCTCTCTCTATCCCCTGCACTCCTTCCATTTACAGGTATCAGATTAAATTTAATCTATTAAAAGCCTTTGGTTTTTGTCCAGAGATGTTAAACACTGGATCTCTAGAGTTTCAAGGGGGAAGTTCAAAAATCTCAATGTTTTCTTCCCTGATACTGAGTTCATTGGAGAACCTATCTAAGCATTAATTTCCCAAAATAATTAGCCAAGCAATTGGGAACGAAAGACCTACTATGAGTTTGCTTGTCCAGGAACTCCCACAATAAAACAGGGAGGATATGGGGTGGAAAGTAGGCATTTAATACTAAAATTTGCAGATCAGGAATTTGTTTTAAAACATAGTCTGTCCTTTGATTCCCAAGGTAAAATCTGGGCTCTTAGGCATAAGGAAACCAAGGTGACAACTTCTCCTGATGCACAACTCCTTTTTGATAATTGGCTTCCTTCTTGGAGAAAGGATTCAAAAACAAGAAAGACTATGATTTCAGACTCAGCTAACCAGGTTTCTTGTAAAAATCAATAAGTTTTGAAAATGTAAAGAATTCCATATCATTCATCTTATTTTATACCAGGATAAAGTACATAAATTGTTCTGGCAAAAGTTCTCCCTGGGTGGAGGGAAAGAAATCAGACAATCTAGGCTACTGGAATGAAGGAGGACATTTTTGCTCCCCAGACCACTACAGACATTAATGGAGTTGTGATTCCTCCTGTCATTCTAGGAGACCCTTCTTACCCTCTGCTTTTTTGGCTTATGAAGTCTCTTAGTAGACACTTGGACAAGAGAAAGGAGTATTCCAAGTACCTATGGAATGCTAGTGAAGTGTACTTTTAGAAGGCCGAAGGGAGGGGGTGATGCTTTATGAAAAAGCTGGATGTTTCTCCTCATTGTGTGCTAAATGTGTGCTGTATTTCACATAACATCTATGAGAGCAAGGGAGAGATCCTGGAGGATGGGTAGGAGCAGGAAGCGGAGAGACTTTCTGAACATTACAGGCCGCGAGAGTGTGCCTCTACAAAATGCCCCAAGTGGTCAAGGAAATAGGGTCAGGGATGCATTGTTCTCCTCCACTAAGGTCAGGGCTTATGGGGGGGGGGGGTGGACAAATGTACTGTAACAAGAGAAACGCGTTTGTGTTTTCTTCTGGTTAGTTGATGATAACATCCTCTCCTCCCATACTATGTCATTTATGGGTTGAGCTGTTCCTCAATGGAACATTTCAGCCAAGTTAAAACAAAATGAATTTAATCAGTTAAAAAACAGGTAACACATTGCATCTTGAGTGGGGGGGGAAAAAACAACAAACAACAACTAAACGAGAATGTGGTGCAACTTTAACACCAATGGAACTGAGGCATGGCCAAAATAAGGAACGCTCACAAACTCCTGTAGGTGATGCACTCAAGAAAATGCTCCTTCTCCAGGTCCAAGGGTTGATTGTTGTAGGTTGACTGAAATAGTGGTCCCAGGATGGTGTGTTCTCTGTAGTTTGCAGAACACTGGAAGTTTGGGTAAAGTGCTTGACCTTTATAACAAAGCTGTCTATCACAGCTGTCTAACTCATGTCCCTGTCCAGGGCCATTCAATCCATTTTGATCCTTTGAGAATGCTCCAGGAAACCACTCCTCCACAACTGTGCCTTTGTGGCTTTCCATGTGGCTCTCTGCTGGGATGAATTCAATAGTTTCTGGGACAGATCTTCTCTTGTCATTCCCCCAGCCGCCCCCCTTGAAGATTTGTCAGCCACTCTGCAGGTGATAACTCCCTTCTTCACATGGGCCATGACATTACAGGTGCTAAGGGAAATAAGAAAGAGCACAAGTACTTACTGTCCCCACCCTAATCACCATGCCAAAAATGTTTCTTTCCTCACATTCTTAGAATGCTATTCCAATCATCTCTTCCCACACTGAGGTTCACCTCAAGACAGTAAGAAGATTTCCAAGTTACTTCCCCTTGTATAGGCCCCCTGTAACAAAAACAGGGTGTTTGGATGGCTGTTCTGGTTTTAGGTGGGGCGAGTGTGTGTGTGTGTGGGGGGGGGGGGGGGGGTGTTGTATGGTGCAGCAATCAGTAGGTTAGTAATTGCATGTGCACTCCTCCAGGCTGTCCTTACAGTGAAGGATGTTACCCTGAGATGAGTTCCCAGAAGATTAAGAAGGGGCCTGTCCAAAAAGTCAATGGGCAGACCAGGAAGCTACGCAGCACTGCTATTTACCAAGATAGTGTCCCCGTGCTGGTGCAGGAGTGGAACAGAAACACTAGCTATATGGGCAGTCCCAGGAGTGCTGCTTTGCCTTGCAATGTGTGTGGCAAAATAAAGCACGATCTTTGCCTTAAGTTCTCTTTTACAATACCAATAGATTTTAAAAAGTGTACTTTCTGACAAATAAAATTCTACAGTAACTGCTCTAAACCCATTTTCAAATGACTCTGCAACCTGATTTGGGCCATTTACCACATGAATCCTCAACTTTACTAAAAGCTGAGTATTAATGAAACTGAAATAATGAATCTTTTCTATTCCCCCCCCCCGTATCTGCTGCTACAATAAACGTTTGCTGTGCAATGCATTTTTTAATTCCTACGGTGCAGACATCTTGAGCAGTGTATAAGGTGTACATGGTCGGGGAGGCAGAACAAACAGGACACAGCTCAGGAAGAGGTTTATGGAGTTGGCAAGTGTGGCCGATAGTTGTGCAGCATGATACCAAAAGGAAATAAAGCTTTAAAGCATTAAATCTCTGACACAGATGCCATTTTCAGCATGCTGGGGGCAGGGTGTTAAATGCAAAATAGGGGGGAAAGTTTCTAGCTCCACCCAACATGGAAGTGGACAGCCGGTCCCCGAAAGAAGTAGCAAACATCCCCCTATACTGTCCTGTTGTATACAGCACATAATGCTTATGGGCATAAGTCCCTTTCCCAGCATTTTCGGACTGGCTGCTAGTAGAACTCTCATCCACAGCAGTTTTAGTATGGCTATTCATATGCTGTTCTTGTGTAGCGTCCAAATCTGTCGGGTCATACAATTCTTGGCTGCCCTGAAATAAAAATTCTCCTCCTGAGGAGGAGGTAGCTTTCAGTGCCAACCATGCTGTCGTAGGTGCTTTGTGGAAAATTATCCACCACAAGTCTTGGGTTTCGTGGTGGTTTCACTTGCAAAAATGTGGTTCAGTTCCTCAGAGTATGGGCAGAATATGGGAGCAATACCAGAAGTCCTGTTCTGGTCCCTTGTCCTCAGGTACTTCCACTGGAGTGCCTTTGCTTTGACTCAGCACTGGGACCAGCTCCAGGAGTGCCTCCTTGTCTTCATTTGCTCAAACTGTCTTGTAGATGGCTGCATTCCAGTGACTCTTCTCCAGATGGGATTGAATATGCAGCTCTCCAAAGAGGGCAATCAAGTCCTGGATCTCTGAATGACTCCACATAGAAACTTGGCTGAGGAGAGGGGTTTGGCCTGACTACTATAAGGAGTATGTGAACTCACTATTATCTGATATCAAACATGTGCAATCTTGGTTGCGTGCCAGCATTTAAACTGAGAGATGACATCTAGTTAAGATGACCCCAGGGGAGTGGATGGCACACAGATACAAGACAGGCAAGTCCAGAAGTAAAGCACTGTAGTGTGGGATAGTAGTTACAGGACTGCCAGAAGGAGAGTAGTTAGGAATCCACCCAAACTTAAAGAAAGAAAACTCTCTGCAAAGTGGAGTTACCCCTGTTCCGAGGAGGATGATTATTACTGTGACCTAAGATGCCAAGTAATCACTTTAAAAAAGTTGTTTGTGGACATAAGGCGCTGTAAAGTGAACTAACTAAAGTTAATCTGATTTAATATACCCACGTAGTAAAGCCCTAAAAGGGCAATAAGGGTCGGCATCACCCTTTTTACAAACAGAGCCTAGAACTGCACTCTTTTAGTGCATTTCATATGCTTCAGACAGTTTAAGTTTTGCCATTTTTATGCCCTGGTAAACAGGCTTAAACTTACCTATATATTCAGCCATCCTCTGCCTAAGAGTTTTTGTTTTGGGAGCGAAGTGGAGAATCGTGTCATGATCAGAGTCATCCTCACTCTCTGTATCACTGCATGCTTTTTTCTGAGAGACTGGAGCACGATGTGATGTGTCCAGTGGAATATAGTCACCCTGAGTCCTGGCCAACTGACGTTTCCTACAAGCAACCTGGATATAAGCTGCATCAGGTATATTACCTGTAATGAACAGAAAGAACCTAAGGTAAGAGACTAAGAGAAAAATTCAATACTACTCCTCATGACAAACTTAATTATATAATGTTTTTTCTCCGAAGTATAGTAACACATTAGGAGTTTGGGGCTTTTTTCTGCAATACATTGTTAATGATAAATTGAGATAATTGTGCATGTTATTTCTACAGTCCGAGGGCCACAACTTGAAAGATCACAAATATTGAGGACAACTTCCATACCACTGCTGCTCCAACTACATGTTTACTTTCCAGTAGTTTTCAGACCCTCAAAACAAAGGCCACAGTAGTCTTAAAAGAAACAATCACCTAAATAAAAGTTTCCAGTATTTATGCCATAAATGGAGGTGCATGTTGTAAGCATAACAATTCTCTTCATTTTGCCAGTCCTAAGTCTCAAAAATATAATCAAGGCAAAAATATTAAAGTATGATTAAGGCTGCAAATTAAAATATGAGCAGTAAGGAAAAAGAAAAGTGTGCTAAACTAGTAATCTATATCATACATGAAAATGAAAAAGGATTACTACTAGAAGTACCTTAATGTTTGCATTCCTGGATTATTAGTCTCTAAACATGCATCCTTAATGCTGCATTAATAAAGTTTTATTACATTTAATTTCCTGTTTATTAAAAATGAAAATGAGATTAGAAAGGATCATAACCTTAAATCCATCATTTCTCTTCTATCCAAATGCCTAGTTATGGCAAGTGATCTATAATAGAGGTTTTTTGTTTTGTTTCAGCACATAGTTATAAAAAACCCAATGATATCTAGTTTTACCTTTTTTTTTTATTTCATTACTATAAATATTACGGGGCTTTCTATCATATCATCATGCTAAATATCTATCCCAAGGGACAAGATTGACAATAGACTGTAAAGGCAAATTGTGCTCTCAGTTACACCAATGTAACTCTGGAATAAATGTCCTTGATATACAAGGATTTCAGTGAAGTTACTTTAAATATACATTAGTGTAACAGCATCCAGTGTTACAAACAGTACTTTGAATATTCTGCAATATGCAAGACTACGTGCAGTATGTAGTCACTGCTCATAACTAGTTACAAACCTGCTGATAAATCCTTCCTTTTCTGTGGAGGGCTGGATTGAGTTTCAGAGGCTGAACTATTGTAATCTTCACTGGCTGATGAGTAGTGCTCATCCTCCTCCTCTGTCTCACATGTATCAGTAGTGTTAATTATTCTAGACTCCGATTGGAAGATTTCTGTATTCAAGGAGAAAAACCAGGACCCAGGATTTTTGTCTCAGCTACTGAAAATGTCTTTGTTATTGATAACCCATTAAGAAACATCATATATCTAATCAAGCCCTCACCCTGAAAAGACTTACCTGTGCTTAAATTTACACATTAAGCAATCCCATTGTCTTCAAAGATGTAAGGCAGTATTTTTAGTTACAGTATGAATCTCAACAAAAGCAAAATTTTAGGACACAGTAAAGTAAGGCATCATCATACAAATTCATGTATTTTTCACTTCAATTCTTTGTTCTAAATTCAGATGATTTTAGGGGATTCTTAACATGATTTATACCTTCATCAAAAAGGCCATTACAGCATAGTACAAATAGTCTGTCAGTATTTCACATTTGTTACTACTACTTTGTTATAATTCCATAAAATATATATTCAATAAAAGCAAGTTATTGAAGTAACAGTACCGTAAGTTACTAGATTGTGACTAGTTTTTAATAACAGGTTGTGCCGTCTCTCATTAATGAAATCTGAGGCGCACTTCTAAAAAATGAAAATGCTAAAATCGATGAGAAACTACTGCCTAGGACCAAATCCTGAGACTACTAGGCAGTTACAAATTCCATTAATCTCCATTTACAATGGGAGTTCCAGGTGGTCAGCTCCTCTCAAGGTCAGCCTAAGTGCCCGATCCTACTCCTACAAAGTCAATGGGAGTTTGGCAGATGACTTAAATAGTTACAGGATCAGACCCTATGCTCATTGTGTTTCGGGATATACATTTAAATTCAATGGTTTTCAACCATAAACTCATTCTTGTAAGTTATTAATATAAAACAATACATCTGATAACAATACTTGCTATAACACCCTTCCTTCGTGGATCTCAAAATGCTTTACAAACAACCAGTGTAAAATACACCCAATAAGTAGCCAAGTACTTACCTTTGCTTCTTTCAGCTTCTCTGACTGCAGAGTGTGGGTTTTCCTTCTTTTGCATTCTAAATGTTATTGTGTTAAGAGATGGTTTCTTTATTTTAAAGAGTTCCTCACCCGCTGTAGGAGAAAAAAAAATATCCGTGTAAACAACAATGTATTTACAAAGCAACATCATCACATTTGAAACATTTTATTATTTGTCTTACCATAGTGCCTAGTAGGCCTAGTCGTGGACCAGGACCACACTGTGCTGTACAAACACAGAACAAAAGAGTGTCACTGCCCCAAAGAGTTTACAATCCAAGTACAAGACAAGAGACAACAAACAGATATAGACAGATAGGGTAGTACAAGTAAACAATGAGACAATATTAGTCAACATGATAAGCTGTTGGTGTACTGAGACTACAGCCTAACTATTGTCACGTTTTTTGTAAGGATCACAACAAGAGAATTTTGAAGAGGGATTTGAAGGTGTTCAAAGATTACAATACACATTTATAAAATCAATAATCAGTGGTCTACATGTGTATGATCATGGCGTACAATCTTTAAAAGTCTACAGTGCATAAGGTTAGACTAGTTCAAGAGTGTTACCACAGGTGCTCTAGCTCTTTCACCTCTCAAGCATTAAGACATTTATGGGCCACTAACAACTGAGAAGAACACAATATTCTAGAGTTCTACTGAACTGCTCACAGAACGGTCACTCAGATGAACATTTTCCCTCAGTGAAATCAGACTTACAAACATAAGAACCGTCATTCTGGGTCAGACCAAAGGTCCATCTAGCCCAGTATCCTGTCTTCCAATGGTGGCCAATGCCAGGTGCCCCAGAGGGAATGAACAGAACAGGTAATCATCAAGCGATCCATTCCCTGTCGCTCATTCCCAGCTTCTGGGAAAACAGAGGCTAGAGACACCATCCCTGCCCATCCTGGCTAATAGCCATTGATGGACCTATCCTCCATGAATGTATCTAGTCTTTTTTGAACCCTGTTATATTGTTGGCCTTCACAACATCCTCTGGCAAAGCCCACAGATTGACTGTGTGTTGTGTGAAGAAATACTTCCTTTTGTTTGTTTTAAACCTGCTGCCTATTAATTTAATTTGGTGACCCCTAGTTCTTGTGTTATGAGAAGGAGTAAATAGCACTTCCTTTTTTACTTTCTCCACACCAGTCATGATTGAGGTCTATAAAATCATGTCCCCACCTTAGTCATCTCTTTTCCAAGCTGAGAAGTCCCAGTGTTATCGATCTCTCCTCATACGGAAGCCATTCCATACCCCTAATAATTTCTGTTGCCCTTTTCTGAACCTTTTCCAATTCAAATATATCTTTTTTGAGATGGGGCAACCATGTCTGCACGCAGTATTCAAGATGTGGGAGTACCATGGATTTATATAAGGCTGACCATTCAAACAGGTCCCCTTACTTTATCAGGGCAAGACAATCTTAAACAAAACGAAACAACAGTCACCTCAGGTCTTCAGTGGTATTTAGGCACCTAACTCCCACTGAAATCAATGTAAGTTTGATGTCTGGGCCTCAGTCCATAACAGAGGGATAACATCCACTCCTTCATACTACACTCCTGACCCTTGTCTTTTAGGCTCTAAGTTCTTTGGGGCAGAGACTGTCATTTATTATATGTTTGTACATTTTTTTTTTAGGCATTATCACAATGTAAGCGTAAATAATAAAACAACCATGACCCAAACTTCAGATCCAGAATGTGCGCAGCCTTATAGTTGTAGGGTCCACTCATATGAGACAGTCCTATGAGTGTCAGGTAGCCATGAAGTTCCAAACCAATCCAGAAAAATCATATGTGCATAGTGAAGTCATAAAGGACCATCAGCAGTTCCAGCATCACTGCTGATCAGCCCAGATTTAGTGTGGGAGATCAGTTGTATTTGAGTTTACATGCAAAAGAGTACAGACCCACCCCTTCACAAGACCCCTTTCACATGAGTCATATATTTAGCCACAGACAACTTTAACAACATCTTGCAGTTAAATAGCCAGGTCTTGGTTATGCATGCTTACTCATTCTTTATCTCATCATTAACTTTATTAGTTTTTGCATCACTTAACGCAGATTATCTTCTTGCTGTGTCTAATTATACACCTTTCTACCTTCCTAAATCTTCTCTACCTTTCTAATACTTTTAAACAAACATGTATAGAACTGTTAATCTTCAAAGAGTTCACAAATATTCACTAATTAAGCCTCATAACAATCCTGTTATGAATGTATTATTCCTACTTCACACATGCAGAAATAGAGACACAAAAGTTAAGTGACTTGTTCCAGGCAACCGAGTGAGTCCATGTCCAAACCAGACTGAGAGGTGTTAGCTCCTTGCCCCTGTCACTAAACCAGTAGACCTCCCCATCAATGGTTCTCTTGTTCTATACTCTCCCCACTCCACCCCCCATAATTCACTCTCTCTAGCTCCCAACCTGCTCTCCCTTTGATTCCCTGCATCTTGCTGCCATCCTACTGCTATTCAGAAACCCAAAAGTGAATGCAGTGTTAGGTCATGTCTACACAGCAGCTGGGAGGATGCTTCCCAGCGTGGGTAGATACACAGGCCCTCTGCTCCAGCTAGCAGTTCAGCTCCCCCCAGTGCAATTCCACTCAACCCATGAATAGGTACTCAGGTAGCTAGCCTGAGCGGCCACCTGTACCACTACGACCACATTGCCATTTTTAGAGCACTAATTCGAGCAGAGCTCGTGGCTGTCAGTCTACCTGCGCTGGGAAGCACCCTCCCAGCCGCTGTGTATACATACCCTTACAGGTACAAGTCCCAGCAGAGATACCAAGAGAACTACTAAAGTGACAGCAGCTCTGCTGTCCAGCCAGGCTCTTGAGGGGTACCTGCAGGTCCCAGTACCTGAGGGTGTTTGAGTGATTAAAGCACAGGACTGGGCACCAGGCCTCCTGGGTTCTCATCCAAGCCACCCTAACACTTGGGCTTGTCCACCCTTGAAAGCTAAGGGGGAGTACGGCAAGGTGCAAGTTAAAAGCTAGCAGACCCCAGCCATTGTTAGTCCAGAACAAGAGGGCCCAGACAGAAGCCACAACTGTTGGGAGACCAGCCTGGAGCCCCTTCCCAAAACCTACAAAACACAAGGATCTCCATCTCTCACACACTAGGGTTACCATATTTTAAGTACAGGAGTACTTGTGGCACCTTAGAGACTAACAAATTTATTAGAGTCTCTAAGGTGCCACAAGTACTCCTGTTCTTTTTGCGGATACAGACTAACACGGCTGCTACTCTGAAACCTGTCATATTTTAAGTGTCCAAAAGGAGGACACTCCAGGGGCCCCGGCCCCACCCCTCCCCTGAACGCTTCGCCCCCCTGCCCCTCCCCTGCTTCCCGTGAACATCTGATTCACGGGAAGCCTGAAGCAGGCAGGCAGCAGGTAAGCTGGGGGTGAGGGGGGGCGCAGCCCAGTCCGGTCCCCCGACCCCCGAGCACGGCCGGCCCCGGCCCTATCACACACACACACGCTGCGCGGCGGAAGGGAGCCGGCGTCAGACTTTAC